GAATCCCTCTGCATGGTTGACGATGGAGACTCTCCCTCTCCAGGAGGCCAAGTGGGGCTTTCCCCTCCCGTCGCCTTTGCCAGCACTAACGCTGGCACCAGCGCTGGGGGTCCTGAACGCATCTCTGCTCTGAGGAAGGTGAGTTATTTGCTTCCTGCTGGACCTGGCCAGGCCTTCAGCCCAGCTTTGAGCAAATACTCACATCGGACCGTGAGGAAACGGCTGGGGAAACAGGTCCCAGCCAGGCCGGCAGCCCTTCGTGCTGCTCATAACCGTGTCACCTCGTCTTCAAGCAGGAGCTCAGCACTGGCATTTCGTTTCTCCAGAGTCTTCCAGGCAAACAACAGGGATTTTGCTTCTCCCAGCACACAGGGGATGCGCAGGCTGCGCCCGTCCTTCCGAGGAGACGCAAACACGAGCCCTGAGCCCTGGGACCTGCCGAGAGCCCCGCGGCTGCTCCCCGCAGCTCCCGGGGGGGAGCGGGCGCGCGCAACTGCTCCAGCACAGAGCGGCGTCCCCCAAGGAGCCCTCGGACGGATGGTGCTCATTCTTGTCATGTGTGGCCACGGGAGAAAAAGCCCTTGCTCATTGGCCACTGTCCCAGGAAGAAAAGGACCTGCCTTTGGGGCTGTTGAAACCCTCTGAGGGTTCAGTCCAGCTCCACAATCCAAGGAATCGCCCTAGCACCCAGTTTGCACATTCGTAAGCAGGAACAGAGGCTCAGTGCAGGGGTAGGAAGGGCACTCACACGTCCCGGATCCACTGCAGTCATGACGAGGTCCTGAACTAAGGGTGACAGTCCCTGAGCGCCTCAGGAGCAGGCGGCTGCAGAGCCCTGGGTTCCCACCTCTGCCTTCAGAACTAGCTTGTGATGGAGGAAATCAGCAGAAGCAACCTCAGGAGAAGAGCCCATTGCTGCCCACGCTGGGAAGCCGCTCCAGCAGCCTCTGCTTGACTCCAGCCTGATGTCGGGGCAGGGAGGCTCTGGGTCCTGCATGTTGCCCATGTTGTATCAGCTGGGACAGCTCTCCCTGCTGCTCCTCCAGCTGGATTTCTGTGCAAGACAAACCTGGGGGTTGGTTCTGAACTCAGTTCAGGAGAGGCCGAGCTGCTTAACACACACTAGGCTCCCCGGCTCCTCCCAGGTCTTCCCAGAGCAGAACTGCAAAGAGCTTGGTGGGAAAATGGAAAGGCTATTAAATTTAAAACGAGTATTAGGCAGTATTGGACACTCTCTGGGACTGGGGCTTGTCAGCTTCATCTAAACTTCAACTTACAGGGCATTTAGGCAAACCAGATTGTGTCTGAGATCACAAGGTCACCAGGGGACAGGATCTCTGCAGCGTAAAACAGCACCAGGACACCCACACCCACATTTCCACCTCCATCAGCCCCTTTGTCCGTGACTGCATGGATAAACATGGAATTGTCATTGATTCCACTTTCTAAATTGCCTGCATGAGCAGGACTACATGGACAGAGATAGAAGAGGGAGGGCACTACTTGTTTTTCTGTTTCCTCCTACATAAGCGCTAGCCCAGTTTTTCCTTCCCTCAGTTATTTTCCTCATCTAAGAGATTCTCCCAGCGGCATTCTGTGAGGACACACTGCCCCAGGAATCACCACACAGCCCTCCCTGAGATCAACCTTTATTTGTGCAGAGCTACTGCTCTGCATGAACTCCGGAGGCCGAAGGAATCACAACCAGCAACACTCCGAGAGGTCTGATTTATCTGCAAGTCTCTGTCAGCGTCTGATGACAAAGCCGGGCTGGGAACCTCTTTTGTCCCTGCGGGACCACTTGGCTTCTGCTCCTTCAGCCAACTTGGTAACGTTTCATCAGCTCCCTCACGATCTCTCCCTCAGTTTCCTTTTGCAAACTGCTGCTCAGGAGCTGGGCTTCTCCCTCTGTCTCGCGGTCGGTGGGGCCGCTGGGCTCTCCGGAGCTTCCCCCACTTGTGCTCATGCTCTGCAGCTTCCTGAACAAATCCCTGCCGCTCTCCTTCTCCGCCTCGCTGAGAAGATCCAGGTTCAGCCCGAAGCGCTTGGTGCTCGAAAGGCCCTGCAGGATCTGCACGACGGCAGCTCTGTCTTCATGACACATGTTCTCCGCCAGCACGGTCAGGAATTCACCCAGGAGGCCAAAACCTAGGTCAGCCTGGAAGATCCTGCCCAAGGCCTTGCCTTCAAGTTTAAGTAAAAACTGATATTTTTCTTTTCCATTTTTTAAGCATCTGCGCCAATCTCTGTAAAATTCAGCAGAGGTTCCAGGCAGTTGATGTAGTTCCTGGAGGAGAAATTAGTTAGTGTATTTCTGGCGTGTGATTTCCACTTTATCCCCCACTTACCAACCCTTGGATGTCCAATAGACACAAGTACAGCTTTGATAAAGGGCTGCATGAAGCTGGCGAGGTGGCAAAGCGTGCAGGAAAGGGAACAAATATCAGTTAGTGAAGCCCAAAGGAAACCAGAGAACCTCAGAGGGAAATAACAAGCAGAACGGGTGAAGCAGGAAGCACAATGTGAAACGTAGTGGTGCAGGATCCCTAGCCCTAAGCAGAGCGACCCGGACGCACCGCTCTGTGCAGGAGGGATCCGAAGGGCTATGGTACTTCCGTGAAAACCTCTGCTCCATCTCAAGCACCATGAAGCAAATCAAGGGAATGAGCAGATAAAAGATAAGGGATGTAAATTGTTCTGAGGCCCCTAGCACTCCCTTTCCTTACCTGCTAACTGCTATGGGCCTGTGGCTTGGGCTATGAGAGATACGCTCAATGTGGCATCTCCAGATAAAAGGAAATCTGCTTTATCCAACATGTAATCAGGCTGCTGAACTCCTCACTGCCAACTTAACTCAGGCACAGATTGAAGGAGGATTAAAATATTTAGGCTTTTATATAGAGAGTGAAAACAAGTCACAGCAATAACAGGCTGTGTTTAGATACAAGATGTGGATGCCCTGGAGATCAGAGCCCAAGCACTAATGAGATTAGAAACAGAATTTCCTCTAGGAGGATCACTGTTCAGTACAGCCAAATCTAAAGCTGCCTGCAAGACTCGCAGAAGGATCTCGTAATAACAGGCAAATGAGATTCACTGTCAAAAAATTCACGAGGTACTTGTGAGAAGCATCCACAGGAAATATCTCAACTACATGTTCAGTGAGAGACGCTGCTGCAGCTCCCATCAGGCAGGAAAGTAGCCCTGTCACTGTGTCACTGGGCCAGGAAAGTCAGGGTGGAAATTCTTCTGAAAACATCAGCTCAAGCTCAGCAGCAAACAAGCAAAGCCAGATAAAACACATCGGCTGTTTTGTGACTGTGTAAATCCATAGGGTACCCATGCCTTGAGTACTGCTTGCGGTTTGCCCACCCTTTTGCACAAAAAGACTAGCTAGTGCTGGAGAAGAGACGGGCAACAAGGGGATGGAGGTGCAGGCTGCTCTCTGGAGCAGAAGACATCAGACTGGGACCCTTCCAGTTGGACAGAATCCTCCGAAGGGGCAGGACAGGTGTCCCGTGTCCCAGCTGCCACGGGAAATGTTTATTTGTGGTTTTGCACAGCTGAAGAGCTCAGGAGCATCCCAGGAACTCCCCAGGTTTCAAACAAAGACAGGAACATTTTTCATAGCATGTGTAATTAAACTGCGAGAGGCCTGGCCGTAGCGTGGGAGACACGCTGCCTGCAGCTGCTAACTGTGACCTTCCTCACGGCCAGACCATCCTCGTGCGTGCGACCATCGTCCAAAGCGCAGGGAGCTGGAGGAGCAGGGCCAAGGCAGGGCCCTCTGTGCCAGGAATGTCCCTGCCCCGGTCAGAGGTGGCCTGGGGCTGCGGCCGGACGCTGCACAGACGGTCCCAAGTCCCAAAGGGTTGAAACAGCCTCTTCTTGAAGCAGCGGGTACAAGTCTTCGTCAAACACAAAATAAGGACCAAGTCTGAACCCCACAGTTATCTAATCACAGTAACTCTGGGGATTTCTATGTTCCCCATGGAAATACTTCTGAGTAATTCTTGCACTTTAAAGTAAGAGCCCAAATTGTTCCCGAGTAACGTTTCGATGTGGACAGGGCCCCAGGGAGCATCTGCCTCACCTGGGCTATCTCCACGCTGCTGCTTTCCTCCCGCTTCGCACGGGTCACACACGGGTTCCACAGCACGGTTCCCTTCTTGGCCGCTTTGTCCTTTCTCTCTAGAGGCTTCAGGTGTGACGCCAGCACGATATCCCTGCAGGCAACAAAGGGGATATTGAGGATATTTAGGAGGGACCAAATCCCTGGGTCCCTTTTGCAGTGCCCCCAGTGAGGCAACTTCTGAGTTTGCGGCAGGGTGGGCATCAAACAGGGCCCGGATTCAAACACGATCCAGAGGGGGATCAGGAGGTCGCTGCAGGGGACACCTGGCAGCACATCCTGCTCACACACTCGTGTTGATCCAGTCACTGGGATCAACCAAGCCGGAGTGTCCCCGTGGGCTGTCCTGCTATGGAGCACTGCGATGGGCATTTGCACCCAGGAGCCCTGGTCAGAGCCAGAGCCCGACAGAACAGCCCGACACTTCCCTGCTGTCCCTTTCCTACGACGCCCTGGAGTTTTTGTCACTTTTACACTTTCGCGGGAAAGATCCCAATTCCCGACACCGCCCAGGGATCGCTTGGCAGTTCATGCAGTGCCAGCCAGCGCTGTTTGGGCGGATTCCCGGGAATTCCGCCTGTTACAGGCCTGTCTGCCACCGCAGGAGGCTTCGAGGTGCCGGGGCCGCACCGGAACTCCTCGTAGCAGGCGAGGCGC